GATCAAATACATTTCAGCGACATATTACAGTTATAGGCTCTTCATCAACGTGCAATATGGCACCGGAGATAAGATATGGTCGTTGCTCGGTTGCTCACGACATGGAACCGACAAAGCAAGGTGTAACTTTGTGGAAGAAGATGTGGTAGGGCAAATAAGCCCTGAATTGAGCATTGGAGCTTTGTTATTTATGTTTGTGGGGTATAGGTTATTGGCATATTTGGCTTTGAGACGCATCAAATAGATAGCCTAAATGAAGGAGAAGCTTGCATTGCATGCATGTTTGACACACTTCGAATGGATTTCCACTAACCATTTGGTTCTCCAAAGATGATTTGGGCAAATGTAAATAGCCAAGAAGAAGTTTATGAATGTTTTTTGTTGTAATATTACTAGGAATATATGCAATATGAGAAGCCACTTCTCTCTTTTATTATTGAGTAGATGATTTCTTTGAAATTTCTATGCAAAAACCGTGTTTTCCATGATTTTTCTCTTCCCTTTGTAATTTGATTTAAAGCATTAAGGATGAAATTTATAACTAATGTTAGAATTATGTGAGAAAAATTATGGGAGTGCTTGATGTGGTTGGGTTAAGCTATGAGTCTGTTACTTATTTATAGCTTTTTCATTGGTTATATATAGCAAAGTTATATATGATACATGAACGTATAGTAAACAATTGTGTATAGTAAAAGATTATATCTGATAAAGTTATAGATGATAGATAGTTATACGTAATAGATGACTATAGCTGGTAAAGCTCTATATACTAAATTAAACCATATATATACCCATTAGATTTTGGTTTGAAAATAAACTTGGTGTATTCTTTGTAATTTCCATTCTTGTACATACTTGAAGTCATGAATATAAATTTCTAACGAATATTCCTCATTACATTTTCTATCTCCTATTTTTTGTGTTCATGTAGATCGAGTGTGTGTTGTTGCGCGATCCTAACAACAAGTACCAGAGCTAAGCAAAATTCACCACGATCTGTGAAAACGAAAAGCTCAAATATTGGAATTGAGAAGTTCGATGGATTTGATTTCAATTTCTAGAAGATGTAGATTGAAGATTACCTGTATAAGAAAAATCTTCACGAACCCCTGTTCGGGGTGAAACCGGATACCATGACCACAGAGTAGTGGAATCTCAAAAATCGAAAGGCCCAAGGCTGATATTGACATTCAACATTGTCAACGAGAAGATAATGTTGGATTTGTTAAAAGCATTGTCGAATATGTATGAAAAAACAAGAGAGGAAGCAGAATCACAAATCTAGAGATGATGATGGTTCTGTAAATTCAACCGAAGGAGTGGACAGCCTAACTGAATCCTAAATTTTAGATTTGGGTGCATCGTTTCATTCGTCTCTAAGTAAGAATTGTTTCAAAACTTCACAAAATAAAATTTTGGGAAGGTGTATCTTGCCGAAAATAAAACCTTGGAGATTGAAGGGAATGAAGATGTTTGCATACAAACTCTAGTAGAAAATTAGTAGACATTAGAAGATGTCAGATATATTTTTTGTCTCAATAAAAACTTGATCTCTATTGGTTAATTGGATAACATAGGTTATGCAATAGAGTTTGGGAAGAGTTCGTGCAAGATTGTGAAGGATGTCATAGTGGTAGCACGTGACACAAAATCTGAAACCTTATACATCATTCCAGGATGTATAAATATGGTTCCTGTAGCTTAGAGTGATTCCAATTCAAGTTTATGGCATAATACACTTGGACATGTGAGCGTCAAATGACTGAAAATGTTGATTGCGAAAGAAGTTTTAGAAAACCTGAAGTCTGTTGATATGGGTCTTTATGAGAGCTGTGTTATGGGCAAACAGAAACGAGTTAATTTCATAAAGGCTGCTAGAGAACCGAAGAAAGCGTGGTTGGCAATGACGTTTGGGGATCTTCTCTAGTTTTATCACTTGGTGGATCAAAGTTTTACGTTACCTTCATTGACGATTTCAGCAATAAGATACGGATTTATTTTTTGAAACATAAGTCAGATGTGTTTGTTACTTTCAAAAAGTTAAACATTGAAGTTGAAAATAAGACCGACTTGAAATCAAATGTCTGGGGTCTGACAATGGATAAAAGTACAAGTCAAAACATAAAACATTTTGTGCAACCGAATGAATTATATTAATGAGAACAGTTCTAGGTAAAGCAAAGACAAAATGATATTACAAAAAAGATGAACAGAACATTGAATGTGTGGACAAGGAGCATGATGATTCATTTTGGACTACCAAAGACATTATGGACGACTGTTGTGAATACGCCAGCCTATTTGATCAATAGAGGACTCTCAGTGCCCTTGGAGTTTAAATTTCCAGAAGAGGAAAAGAAGTCAATTATTCTCACTTGAGAAGTTTTGGTTGCATTGCGTATGTTCACGATGATCTAGAGAAAAAAAGACAAGCTTGATGCTAAGGCTATGAAGTGTACTTCATAGGCTATGGTTTTGACATGTTCGGGTATATGTTTAGGAATGACAAGAACAAAAAAACCCTAAGACATTGTAACGTGATCTTTGATGAAAATGTCTTGTACAAAAACAAAAAGAAGATAGGTTCTGAGACTTCGAAACAAGTGGGAGTTAAGCTTGAGTTGTAGAAAAATTTACTCAATGATATTATAGCAGAAACACAACGAAACTCCTAAAACTGTTGTTGAAGAACCATATGTGAAGTAAGTGATACCTGAGCATGTATTGAGGAGATTATCTAGAACTATTAGAGCATCGGATAGATATTCACATCATCACCCATCATAGCTTATCGTAACCTAGTATAACATAGCATAGCATGACTTATCATAGTATAACGTATCATATCATAACATAACATCGCATTGCATAACATAACATCACATAACATAACATAATATTTAAGCATATGACACATGTAGGGTCCACGAAGCACGTATCATAATACGTAAGACAATTTTTTCAACCAAACTAATAGTGGAACCACTTACTTGGTTGGCTTGAGTCGAACCCACTCGATAATCCTAAAAATGATTTGAGGCGCCCCTTATCCTTCACTCTAACCTATATTTCCCCACAAGATTATATCACGACATGACATGGACATAGTTAAAAGTATCCCATAATTCAACTTTATAGCTAAAAAAAAACTTAATTTAAGCCATTTGGGTGTTAAACTGCCCTCTTCTCACGAGGTTAACCAGCTTCGGAAGGGTAAACAATGTAGGAAATGGTACCAAACAGTGTAACCCGAGCTGGTAAACTGGATAGGAGCCGATACCAAACTTGCTCACACATGAGGAGTGGCTCACATGGAGAAAAAAGAAACATGCGATTGATTCTTCTTTTTTAGCTTCGAAGGGGTATGACAGCTACAATAAAGAAAGCAAAGGTCGTGGTTGCGGACATGGTGACAAAGGAGGTTGTAAAATTATCTCACAAACTCATGATGATGCCAACCACTAAAAAGACAAGAGCATGATGAAGTGTTACTCTTGTGGAGAATACATGCATTATACAGTGGAGTGTCGCAACAAGAAAGCGGGATGATGAGGCAAACCTCACATTCACGCATGACGAAGAGCCCGTACTGGTGTTAGCCGAGAGGATGCCCAACCTATTTATGCTCAATGAAGAGAATGTTATGACGAACCTCCTCGCAAACAGAGAAGATCGAGGGAGACCAACATGTGGTATCTAGACAATGGAGCGAGCAACCACATGACCAAAGATCGAGCAAAGTTCAAGGAGCTTGATAAGAAGCTCATTGGAAATGTAAATTTTGGTAATGGATCAATTATACTTATCCAAGGCAAAGTATCTGTCTTGTTCAAGTGCAAAAATAGTGATCAACGGCTGACCAAAATATATTATATCTCTAGCTTGAAGAGTAATATTATCGGTCTTGGTCAAATGACAAAAAAAAAAAAAAATGAAGCAGAGTGGAGTTAATTAGGTCATTCCTTAAGATGTTCGATAGAAACGAAGCCTTATTGATGAAGGTAAATGGTTACAAAATTGCGTATATAAGATATTAATGAAGATTATCAATATCTTTTGAAAGCCTACATTAGCATTAGCATTAGCATTGGTGACAAGGAAGAGAAGAAGAAACCGAAGAACACAGCTAAGAACAAACTAGATGCTTCGAGCAACCTACAAGTCGGTGTGCTTCATCAGACTTATCACCTCAACCAAAGAGACTAGAGGAAGGCGAGGAAGACCTAAGAAAAATGGGACATCCAACTTTTTAGAGTCAGACCTAAAAGAAACAAAAATTCAATGGTAAAATGGGCGCAATTCTGAGCATCTTACAGTATCTGCAACTTTGTTTTCAGGCCACTTTGTGGGCGTATTCTGAGCGTAGCTAGGCAGCACAAAAGCATAGAAACACATCAGATCCTTCCAAACTTCTCTTGTTTTTACTTGGATTTTCTCTGTGGTATTACTTCACATCAATAAACCCATAATTTCTCCACAATCTTAGTTTCAGATCTAAATGGTAAATGTGAGTTATCAACTAATTCTTCCTAATTTATGTTTGAAAATCTGAGTTCTTGAGAGGCAAATCAAGTATTTTAAAATTATTAGACCTTTATCACTTGAGATCAAAAGTTCAAAAAAAAAAAAAAAATAGAACTTTTAGCTGTTCAACAGGTATAGTCTCTAGGAAACCTTGAACATAAGATCAAGTAAATATAAAGCATATTGTACAACACTATTTCCTGCAGTAGACAAGAAAGATCTATGGTCACCAAACTTCGATGCTGTTGCATTCGAGCATTTGAACCTGCAACGATCAACCGTTTCAGGATACTATAAAACAATGCTTTTCGTTTCAGTGTCCCAAAATCTAAATCGCCAAATTTATATTTGATGATTTTGATTGCTTCTTCATCTAAAGAAATATAAATAAACAAATATGAAAACTGGACTCAAAATCTTTTGGGAGAATTTGCTAATGACAATCAAGCAAATTTTAAAGTTTACACAGCCAGAGAACAACAATTAAGACTTGAAATTTCTAAGATATAAAGCAGACATTCACAAATGTATAGACCAAGAACCCGAACATATTGTCAACACTAATTATTTGTTAAAGTAAACTTGGGACACAATATAAACAGTTCCACATCCCTGAAAGTAAATAATAGACATCAATTATACAGCAAAAACTGACCATGGGGAAAAATAAAACTAGGATGACCAATGAAGATTTACTTACTTACAAGAATGAACAAAACCGAAAGTAGTTCTGCATTGATATGGGAAAATCCATCAAGCAAACAAGAATCTAAGGTTATATACGACGCCTGCTCCGGGACGAGAAACTAGGAGACCCCGTGGGAGTTATGCCTCCTCTATAAGTGGCATTAAATGAAGTGTATGCTGCCTTGACTGGTTCAGGGACAGAATCTAATGGAATCGACTCTGCAAAGCAAGCGGTGTTTATTCGTGTTCTCTCGAGCTCTTGTTGAAGCAACTCTGTGCTGTACTGCTGTGCCAGTGCCTGTAACATAGAAAGATAATTGACTATAGCCCAACGCACACAACAACTGTAGTAAAAGAAAAGGTATAGTTGATACATATGAATCAGTTATCATGTAGCAATTGCTAAACTTAAAGAACTCTAGACATTGATGTAGATGTTCTACCTTTTGGCTCAATATAAATCAGATATATGTTTTAGTCCTTAATGTTTGTATCTAGTCCCTATTGTTTGCAAAGTATAATTCTAGTCCCTTACATATTAACAAATTTTAAGTTTATATCTTTTCCATCTGTAAATTTTTAAATTGGCAAATGATAAGCCTTGAATTCCTCTAAATTTGTAAACTAAAACTACAAATTCTCTCTCTTGGGTGGTTAATGCCAATTGCAACATGCTACAATGGAAAGATTACACTTGAAACATGTTATAACATGAAGAGACTAAATTGAGAAAACACCTAAACTTGAGGGACTAAAATGCATATGTCAAGTCTAAAATGATAAAGAGTGAGTCGAGGCATTATTTTGAACTTTAACATGTACAAGAGAATATAGTGCAAGAAGATGCTTCTCACAATAAGTTCATCTGGGGCAGTTGCTCCTTGCTGTCGTTCATCTAGAGCTTCCTCGCTCCCACGAGTCGACCGACGATTATGGCCTGGATTATCAGCTGCCTCTGTCACACTTTCAGTAGCTTTCTCCAAAAGCACTCCTTGCAAAGACCCCAAAGACTCCCTTGCATCGGGTGTGAAATAAGGATTTAATATGGTCTCGAAGTACTCGAGCTGCAAAAGGAGCACAAGTCAGCTACTACCATTATCGGTTAACCATCTAAATGAAGCTGCTCCAGTGCACAATATATAATTATGATACATCCCCTAATGCAACAAAAACGACGAGATGCATGGCTTTTTTTCTTCAGCTCGTTATTATTTTACCATTTTTTTTTTCTGTTGGAATTGGTGCATGGGCAATTTATTTGTTTAATTGCGGTTACAGATCAGCGGTTCATGTTTCTAGTTTATTTCCTCTATTGAAATCTAAATGCATGAAAAACATCCTATGTTCGATCAGTATCATATTACACAGCTAACGTTGATTTCCCTTCCCTAGTTTAACATTAATTTTACCTCAAGCATGAGTTGACAGAAACCATTTGTATCAAGTGACTGTAGCTCTGTTGTTGCATTTTCATCAAAAATGCTGAGGAAAGTATCAATTAAACCTTCAACAAGAATGCCTAGTGTCTTGTCCAAAAGGGGCTTAGCACCAGCAAAAACCTGAAACAATGTATTAAAATAAGAGTCAGCTAGCCAAAACTTGTAGTTAGAAGGAAGGAAAGCGGCAAATGAAATGAGAACAAAAATAGTGTAGAAGCCTTTTCACAAAGGAAATAGCACCATCAAGCTAGCATTAAAGAATCAGAAAGTTTAATTAAAAAAGTTTTTAATATCCAGAACGAAAATCAGAACAATGAGACTACAATAGTTCGCTTCTAGCACATGGTTGGCATTTTCCTAAACTGATGGTAAGATTACCTCAGCATGGACAGACACAAGAGTGTGGAGAAGCTCTACAGCTGCATCACGAACACCCTGCAAAAAGAAAAAAGATAAAAAAAAAGGAAAAAATAACAAAATAGCAAAGAGAACTAGATTTAGGTGCTAAATATTGAAAGAATAAATAAATAATGTAAAAGGCGGTGCTATCAGTAGGAGCACTCATGGGAACAGTCTCCAGTGGAGCATACTTTAACTGCAGGAGCAGCTCCCCAGCGGATTCCGGAATCCAGTAAATAGTTAGTAGCAGCTGTTCTCATCAAGTTTGCCTGATGTGAAGAGAGTCAACCATTAGTTCATGAAAGCTTGGTGTAAACCTAGAAAATATGGATAAAATCATGATTGAAAAATAAAACTATCAGTTGATGTTCATGGCCATGAAAAAGAAAACGTTGAAGAATTCTAAACCACCTAATTAGTTGTAATTATGCGATGATATAAGGAAAGATTTCGTTTTGTTTGGCTTTAGTCTTCACTTTTGTTTTGGCTCCTCTTGGTCTAGCTGTTTTTTTTTATTTTTTTTTCCTTCATTGCCTGGTTGTGTAGTTTACCATTTGCTCTCTACAAGAGTACAGTTTTTCATAGAAGAAAAAACAACAACGTGATAGCTTTATACTATAAGAAAAAAGTGGAGGAAATTTCTATTGAATATGAAATTTAAAATAAAATTCAATACTCGATTGGATGAACTAATTCGACTGTTTATGCTCATAAACATTATTCATGTGTAATATGAGTTTCAAAGTATCTTTAAGCTCCAACAATACAGCTGATTATGCTAGAAGAAGGAATTCATCAACATATCAAATCAAAATCAATCTTCTTTGGCTTATGGAAAATTGAGCTCATATTGAAATGAAATAAAAGAAACAAAAGAATATTATACAATTTCGTGGTAAACTATAACAACAAATTTGTAACTTTGTTTTCTTGGTAAGAAAACAATTATTATTAACATAGACGAACTGGAAAAAAAACAATTACAAGAAAATCTCCGATTGAGCAACTAAGAATGAGAAATAATCACAAAAATTCTGAAGTAGAAACTCAAGGGGGAGTACTGAAATGCACAGTAATCCTAACCTCCCACTTCCAAGAGTCTGCACACCCTTAAAACATCCTATCCTCTCAAGCCCTAAACTCCAATGGGAAATAACAAGGCCAGCTTGCCATAAAAGTTTCCTCCCTCTCTAGGAAACTTCTTTTAGAAAAAAAAACCATTGCAAAGGAGACCTATTTCATTGCATCCGTTCATTTTAATTTTTAAGAAATACACTTCGAATACTAGATATCACATTGATATTCGAAAGTCATTCTTCTGAACTCAAAGCTTCCCAAGTACGTACGTATATCTCATTTACTTTTCTTTTTGTTTTTCTTCATTTTTTTGGGATAGGAAACATAAATATATCTATATCTACAAGACTTCATGATGGAAAAAAAAAAAAAAAAAAAAAAAAAAAAAAAAAAAAAA